GACTTGAATTCAATAGAAGAGAAGGGTCAAAAAAACTTCCTTATATGAAAGGTAAAAACAAGATGAGTTCAACTTATCATGATTTTTGGCCTTCTATCCATATTTAAGGGACAGTTCTTTCCACGTGCGGGTTTCGGGCGAAGTAACATCCAAAACTTTCTGGACCCATTGATCCAAGCCTTCAACCCTAGGTGGAACCCACCGAGTTGCTGAAATAAGTAAAAGAAGAAGGGTCAATAATGATGTGGAATGATTATTAACGGAAGAAAAAACAATGATAGACTTACGAGTGCGGTTCCATAATTCCGGAAAGGCTGGAACCATGGCCGGGATAATGTCACTAGAGGTGACTGAAACGAATCGTTCCATCCACCCACGATCCTTGTCATCATCCATGCTGGATACCATAGCATGGCGGCCGCGCTTGCTGAAATTTATCATTCCTCGCGGAAGATCTTGGGGGAATAGAGGTTCATTACTCGAGCTAGGGTTAGCTCTTCTCCAGTCTCCTGGAACAAGCGCCGAAGACAAGCAGTCGTCCTCCACACGGAAGGACTTACTTGTGCCAAGCACACTTGGCAGCGGAGGCAAAACTCCACGATGACTGAGTCAAGCTCTCCACTCAAAGAGAACGCTCTCAAAGTAAAGGGATACATGTCAAAATATGTAAAACCCTTCTTGGATAAGGTTATCCGCTCCGCCACGTCGGGAGCGATAATGTCCAAATCTTGATAGTGACAGTCTTTCTTCACAGTAGGGATGCTGAAAGGACGGATGGAAGAAGCATATACGCTAACGGCCCACGTACAATGTTTAGCAGAAGGATACTTCTCTTCAAAATCTTTGGTTGTGACCAGACTCTTTGGGTTTATGGTTCTCAATGTAGGAGGAGCAACGTCATCAGCTTTACCTTTGTTCTTTGAAGAACTAGAGTTTCTGGAAGAGGAGGCCATTTTTTGTCAGAAGGAAGGTTTTTCTCTTAAAGATTACACATTCTTCAATGGCCCTCATAATTGATATTAAAGAGAGTCTTGATCCTAGGATCTTATTCCCTAGGTGCAGCTATAAATAGTGAGTTTTATTATCATTGTAAGGGACATGAATTTTCTGGAAAACATATGCTACACTCTTTAAAGCTCAATATAATTTTATCTTCTTGTTTACTGATATCATTGCTATTGTCCCCGAAAGCCCTACTCCCAGAATTATAATTTTTGCTATTTTATCTCCATTTTAAGGCTAAGTATTACATTTTTGTCTAATTCATCTATTATTTTAGGATCAAAACTAATTCACTTGTGTATAAACCACATATAAATTCAATTGTACCATTTTACGGGTATACACTATGAAACTGTATAATTTCTTTCTTGATATCTGTTACATAAACTAGTCCCCTTCCCTCTTGAGAGACAAGTTCTAGGATTTGCTTCTTCTATTTTCTGTCTATCATAACAGCTGAAAAATAGCTAGTGTTGGCATCTCCAAGTTTTAGCCACATTGCCCTAGCCTTTTGTTGCATGATACTCTCTTCAATCATAGACCATTTCTCAAGTTGGCAAATGAGGTTCTTCTCTTCTACTGCTAGCTCATTTGAGTACTGTTTGCTTATCTTGGTTTGAATCTCTTATAGGTCATCTCTTTCTTGATTTAATCTTGTTGCAATACCTTGAACTCAATTTCATTTAGCATATTTAGCTTCTCTCTGAGATCCTTCTGTTTCATCCATATATTTCTCATCAAGTGAATCCTCTGTGTCTAGCATTCCTCCAGTAATTTAAGAAATCTGTCATGTTTGCCCAGACATTGAAGAATTTAAAAGAATATTTGATCCTTGGCTCTCTAATGTTAGCGGCCATCATCATAGGACAATGATTCGATATATATGGGAGTTTACACTCATCAGTTAAATGCCCAAATTACATCATTCATTCTGCATTTCCCATAGCTCTGTCTATTGTGCTCCAGATTCTATCTCCTCCTTATAGTTTATTTGTCTAGGTGTAGTAGTCTCCCTTCCAAGGCAGTTCATTGAGTATCAGTTGTGCACACAATTGGCAAAGTCCCTTATCTCAAGACTAGTAACTATTGCACCATGTAGCCTGTCTTGTGTACATAGTATTGAATTAAAATCTTCCTAAATAAGCCAAGGCTTAGAGCATGTCTGTGATAGAATCGCTAATTGCTGCCAAAGTTCTTTCATCTACTCCAATGTATTGTGACCATAGATCACTGTCATGTTACAATCTATTGCTTGATTTCTGCTAATCACATTACAGTGAATGAGTTGTGCTTCCTTCTTCAGAATCTATCTTAATCTTATATACATTACCGTCCCATAGTAGCCAAATTCTTCCATTCATTGCATGTGTAAATTGGCTTCAAAACCCCATCCAGGAGCACTTTTATTGCTAATTATATTTGTTTTATTTTCTCTTATCCTTGTCTCTATTAGCCCTTCTAACTTGACTCTGTTTTCTCTGAGATATCTAGTTAGTTCTTTCTGCTTATACCTCTTATTTACTCCCTCCCCCTTCCCCCCCCC